CGATTTCGGCGGGACGTTTTTTTGGTCGGCCGGCATCGACGGTAGGTCAAACTGATTCACCGGCGTTGTGCGCTTGTGAAGATCAAGTGAAAGTTTGAGCGTTTGAAACTTGAGGTTTGTAATTCAAAATGTAGATGGAAATCTCGACGCTGTTTACAAATATGGCGAATCAATGAGTTCTTGAGGAGATCCTTCAAGGGTAGCGTAAACAGCGCCATGGTAGATCACATCCAGAGAGTCGATCAATACGAGCGGTGCCCGACCAAAGCTCTTTGGCGACGACAATGACTGGTGGGTGGTGGGGTTTGGGTGACGTCATCGGACACAGTGACGTCATCAAAACCTCGCTATGAGCGCAATGCGCCTTGGGGGGGGGGCATCTGTTGAAGGTCTCTAGATTAAGCCTAACGGAGAGGGACGAGTTCCGGAAAGAATGGGAATTGCTCACGCATCACGGATTTCTTCTTCTCCTCGAAGGCCTGGTCCTAAAACTCAGCGTTTAGCCTGGCCCATGCTGCGGGCTGGCTCGTCCCCCCCCAAAGCTATAGCGTCTCATTATCCTGATTTTCGCCTTTAAAAAAAAACAAACGTTGACTGAGCTAGTCGAAATTCACTTAATAAGGCACATATTGTTCAGTTAATGTATTTTGTCTAGGTCATGTGCAGGCCCAAACTATTCTGATTTTAGAAAAAATTCAGATGCGAGGCGTATCCCGCAAAAATCGATCACTATTCTCTCCATAAAACGTCTTCATGGGGCGCTGATGGAGCCAATATCTGCAATGTCCTCGAGAAGCCGAAAACCACACGTTGTTTGAGACACCGAAAGTTTATTGATTAAAGAAAAACCAAATGTTAGTGGCATTTTCAAGACAATTAAAGAATTGGAACGCAAAATGCAGGAAGTTCAAGCTTTTGGCGGTGCGAGACCACCCAGTATGTCGGTGATTATTTTCATTCCGTCGGCGATCACCGGCATTTGCAACGAGGATCCACCGTCGATCACCAGTAGATGGCCAACTATGTAACCGGATTTTTGCCTGAAAGAGAAAACTACTGAAAA